CCCCCCCCCCCGCCCCCCAGCACAGCCACTACCCTCAGCCTGGTCATCCTTCCACAGGGGATGCCCTTCCTCGCCCGGACCCCCCTCCCAGCCCAGATTCCGCACCCCCCCACCCCGGCATCTCTGGGTGAGGGCTTGGGCCAGGTCTGTGCTCACCCCATGCTGGAATCGGGGTCCAGCTCCTTGAAGCTCTCGGCCATCGTGGTGGACAGAGCCATGAGGGGAAGCTTCTTCTGCAGGAAGGCCAGGGTCTGGCTGTGAGCATGTGCTCACCTGCCGGGTCACCCTCCACCCCACCCAAGCACACAGAGAGCTCCTTGGGGACAGAGCCCCATTGAGGCACTCGGTATGGACAGGGGAGGAGGGAAGCCTGGAGGGCCACACTCTTAGGTGGGAGTGGAAACAGGAGGCAGAGCGGCATCTCCCTGTGACCATGTCCCCCCACCCCACTCCATCTGGGGTGCCCTTTTCCCCGACCAAGTACCCTCACACACCAGAAAACTAAGAACAGGGGGCATGGAGCTGGCCCAAGGTCACAGAGTTGGAAGGAGAATGGAGGTGGGGGGGGGGCTCTTCCCCTGCCCCAGGGCATCGGTGGCTCACACTTAGTCACAGCTGAGCTCAAAACCCTCCCACCTAGAGTTAGGAAGAGCACCAGCTTGAGTCCAAAAGACCAGGGATCAAATCTGTTTTGCCACTTACTAGCTGTGTGATCTTAAGACTTTACCTCTGTGGGTTCATTTCGTCATCTGTACAAAGTGCTAATGAAGGCAGCCTCCTCCTAGGGGTGTTGTCAGCGCGAAGGGAGGCAACGCGTTAACAGAGCTTAACAACAGGGGCGCCTGGGTGGCTCAGCCGGTTAAGTGACTGCCTTCTGCTCAGGTCGTGATCCTGGGGTCCCAGGATTGAGCCCCACATTGGGCTCCCTGCTCAGCAGGGAGTCTGCTTCTCCCTCTGACCCTCCCCTCCTCTCATGCTCTCTCTCTCTCTCTCATTCTCTCTCTCTCCCACATAAATAAATAAAGTCTTAAAAAAAAAAACAGAGCTTAACAACAGACTAGCAGTCATCAGTTACAAATGCTCGCTGTTGATTAATACCAGTGAGTATTAATGTCAGCTCAAATGCCGCTTCCTTCAGGAAGCCCTCATGGCACACTGCTTCCATTCAGAGGGCCTGCTCTGCTCTGCTCTGGGGGCTGTGAGAAGTTCAGGTGCTGTCAGAGGCCTGGCCTTGGCTCAGGGGATGGGTGCAGAGGGGGCCAGGGTCAAGGAGGGGTGGGGAAGAAATAGAGCCTCATCAGTGGGGTCTTGGGACAGCGCAGGCTCTGCCCCCTTGGTGTGCCAGAGGCTTGGACTAGCAGGGAGACCACTGGGCAGAGGTGTCCTGCCTGGGCCCCAACTCCCTGGGACCCCCACTCACCACCCGCTTGTCCATGTCCGCCCCACTCTGGCCCTGCAGACAGGCCTGCAGCCGTTTGTGGACATTGTGGGCTGCTCGCTTGGCCGGCTCCAACCGCTGCTCCACCTGGGGGGGGAGCTCAGAGTTTATGGATCACGGGAGGTTGTTGTCCCCCACCCCCCTCTGCCCTGTTCTTTCCCAGAGCAGGAACCACCTTTCTCTTCCCTCCTCCTGGAGACCCCACGGCCAGCAGCTTGGGGAATGACTCAACCCAGCCCCCCAAATGGCGTCCTGGCCCGGCCCTCTGCTGACAGCTTGCGCAGGCCTGCCTTGCCACCCGCTGCCGGCCCAGGCATGTACCTGCTGCAGGTCCTCCCCCAGGAACTCGGCAGTCTCCGGGGTGCTGTGGGGGAGGGAGGAGCTTCTGCTGAGGCGGCCCAGGTTAGGAAACCCCCTGCCTCCCCCTGCCCCTTCAACAGGGCACCTGGACCCCAGTGGCTTCCAGGGCCCCTCCTCGTTGGGGCCCGCCCTGGGTGGCCGGCCTGCCTGCCTCATCCCAGTCGGAGCACATTCCGTGGGGGCGGGAATAGGATACATGGCTTTTTCCTCCTCCACCCAGGGCTGTGTCCTGAGAGAGGGAGGATGAAACCCAAGGCGGTGGGGTTGGGGAGCCACCTCAGCCTCTCTGGTGTTGACCCTGGGGAGAGGAGGCTGGGCCGGCCCCAAGAACGGGAAGTGTGCGGGCTCAGACTCCTGGGCTGATGGTCAGTCACACAGGACTCTGGCCCGGAGGGCTGTGCAGGCCCTGCCCAGGGACACATGGGGACACTGAGGCCCAGAGCAAGGGGGCCTGACTGCCCTGACTCTAGTCTCCCACCGCACCGATGCCTATGTGAGCCTGGACACTCAGTCCCCTCCCCTGGGCCCAGAGAATGGGAAACTCCCAACACAGGGGGAAGAGGAGAGAAGAGCGGCCCTGGGAGCTCCCCAAACTTCTGGCCTCCACTCTCATCGGCTCAGGGGCCCTGGGGGTGAGAACAGAGAGACCCGGGGATGTTTCCACCTGAAGCTGGGAAAAGCAGAAGCAAGATAGAGAAGCTGGAGGCCTCTGGGCTGGGGGTGGGGTGTGGGGAGAGGCACAAAGCAGGACAAGGCAGGCCCCTCCTCCCACCACACCGGGACCTAGTCTCCTCCCCTCCCCCAAGGTCTGGGGCCCTGATCGCCCCCCCCCC